ACAATGGGGCAGCTTAGTGCTTTTGATGCATAAAAAAAGACTTCAGTCAAGTTGAATAAGTTTCGGTGACAGGATTTGCAGTGTTCAATGTCTGCAAAATCTATCTATTTTTAAACCCACCACAGTTCAACGAAATAACAGGAATTCATGGTTTAATGGCTGTCTGCATTTGCATTTTAGAGACTGATTACAAACTTCCCTGACAAACGCCACAGTGGAAACTATTTGAAAACAGAAACCCTCATGCCATCTTCTGATTGGTGACACTGTTGAAAACATCAAATCAGGCACAATCTGTAAGGCTCTTGATCAGATTTTTGAAAAACTTCCTTTCAAAGCAGAAACATAAATATTGGGTTTGTGGTAGTTTACTGTAAATATACCACATCCTCTACTAGGGCTTCAGGAAGTCGAGGCGAGCCGTGCTAATACCTCCGGACAGCCACAACTAAACTGTCATCAGCTTACACACTAATAGCATTGCAAGGTCACATTCACCAACACCAACTGTGTACCCATGTAAATTTAGATGTTATATATGGTGTCCATTCACAAATGCTTGGAGATCTCAAGATGACATCCACTGTCAATCAATCCATACTGACAAATCTACTCACACTCCTGAAGCGTTAAAACGGATATATCATAAAGACACAGGACTGCACACAGACACGTTCTCCACACATGTGCACATGTTCACACTCAGTTTGTCAGGCTATACTTTCCTTACACTGTAAATCCCACAGACACACAACACCCTCATATCCAAGGCCCCCGTCTGTCCGCCCCAGCAATAATGTCTAACAGCTGGCCAAGCACAGCAATAGCAGCTCAATGTTGCTGGGCTGGGCACGGCACATTTAGACATGTTCTGACAGTATTGGAGTAAATAACTGAAGCATTATTAAGTAATAAATACTACAAATTAAAAGGTACAGCAATGTGATGTATTTCATAGTGACAGTTCCTCTTTTAAGTGTTAAGAACTTGAAATTTGCACATGTGGTCTATAGGATATGAGCCCTAAGCCCTTAAGTATCAGGTTGCCAGGATGTTACAGGTTTAAGATAATGACTTCTGCTTCTAGCAATAGCATTCTGTTTTTGTTGCCTTGAAGATATTAAATTGCATACTACCTTCAGAATTATCTGTCAGCATGTCAGCCCTGACTGTCAGCCATGTGGGATTCAATACTGCATTTCCAAAATCTCATATTCCATTGTGGCTTAGAGCGCTGTGTTTGGCCTTCTTTGTTTGAGCTTCAGTCTTAGACATAACACCTGATATATGCCCGTGTTTTAGAGCTTTATTATCTCCCAACTGTCTACAAAATGTTGCATTGTCCGTCTGTCACAGGCGGCAGGCATACTGAATATCACTTTTGATTTAGAACACCCTTTGGCACATAAAGCATCCACTACAGTCTGGTACATTTTCAGACATTCGAGACATTAAGAAACTAATGTTGGTGAACTAACAGACATTTGTGTTTGTCGTTACAGTGTGGTGGAGGTATCAATGGAGGAGAGATGGCAATTTTTGCCTCAAGGGCAGGGCCAAGCCCCTGCTGGCATCCAGCATGCTTTGTGTGTGAAACCTGTCAAGAGCTCCTTGTGGATTTGATCTACTTTTATCAAAATGGGAAGATCTTATGTGGAAGGCATCATGCTGAGCTTCTTAAACCACGATGCTCGTCATGTGATGAGGTAAAAACTAACTGTTGATGGTGATTAGATGGTGTTATATCGTGTGTGAGATTAAAAAACTAACAGCATATTGTTTCCTCAGATCATCTTAGCCGATGAGTGCACAGAGGCTGAGGGGCGGCATTGGCACATGAAGCACTTTGCCTGTTTTGAGTGTGAGATGATGCTTGGTGGACAGCGATACATCATGAAGGACGGACGGCCCTACTGCTGCGGCTGCTTTGAGTCCTTATATGCAGAGTACTGTGAAGCGTGTGGAGAAAATATAGGTGTGTTTGTGAGTTCAGGAAATGTTGGGGGCATTTATGATGAACTGATATTTAACCAAAGCCCTCCACTCTGTCCATCCTTGTAGGTGTGGACCACGCCCAGATGACCTATGAAGGAGTGCACTGGCATGCCACAGATCAGTGCTTCTGTTGTGCCCAGTGTAAAACCTCTTTATTGGGATGTCCGTTCCTACCTAAAGAGGGTCGCATCTACTGCTCAAAGGCTTGCAGTCAAGGTGAAGACATTCATGCTTCAGACTCTTCGGACTCTGCCTTCCAGTCGGCCCGCTCACGTGAGTCCCGCCGCAGTGTGCGAATGGGGAAGAGCAGCCGGCCCTCTGAACAGTGGAGACAGTCTGAGCTCTTTCACACCAAAGCATCTGTTCCAGCTTTTGACTATGAGAGGGAAGAAACAGCAGACAGGGACATTGATATTATGGGTCGTAAACTGTCTGGATTGGGGCTGGAAGAAGAGAGGTTTTGGAGGGATCGTGAAGAACAGGATGTAGGAGGTGAAGAAGATCCTGAGGAGTGGGCTCAGCATGAGGACTACATGACTCAGCTTTTGCTTAAATTTGGAGACCGTGGACTACAACAGCAACTTCAACAACCTTCTCTAAAATCTCCCAGCCCTAGTATTGAGAGAACTAGGTTAAATAGTATCTCCGACCCGTGGCTAAAACCTGATGCTTCATCTTTGGGGATTAGTGCCTCATCTCCAACTCCTGCAAGCCCTACACAGAGTCACGCCTCAAACCAGTCCAGAGCCCTCAGCCCTGGACTCATGAGCAAGAAGAATCTGCCCGAAATGTACTGGGCTCAGTCTCAAGATGGGATGGGTGATTCTGCATATGGGAGTCATCCAGGGCCCGCCAGCGCACGGAAAATCCAAGAGCTGGAGCTGGATGAGGAGCAGGACCAAACCAGATCTGGAAAGGTGTTCTGGCCGGAGTCCAGGCAGTGGTATGAAGACTCCCTGGAGTGTATCGCAGATGAGCTGAGGAAGGTCGAGCAGGGTGTTGGTGACTCCATGGATTCCCTAGCGCTTTCCAATATCACTGGTAAGAACATTAAACTTTGGGAAGTTGGTAAAAATCTGCTTTGATCTGGTAAAGAACATATTTTGATAATTTTTTCCTTCTTTCAGGTGCTTCGGTGGACGCTGAAGGAAGAGACAGACCAGTGCGGTATTCTCTTCAAGCCATCCAGGATAACCTGCTAATGCCAGATGACTGTGAGAAGATGAGCAACATGGGAACCTTCAATTCCTCTCATCTTAATCACAGTAACAACTCACTCAACCTGAACCTGGAGAAAGTTACAGCAGATGAAGAAGTGGCGATGGCGATGAGAGGAGCCCTGTCCTCCCGCTCTGAGGTGCTATCTCCTTCATTTGTTCACGCTCCAGCGCTCAGAAGGAGCAAGTCTCAGTCCAGGCCTCCTCAGGTGGTCACCTTTTCTGAAGACACGGTGGACAACGGGTATGAGTATGATGTCAACATTAGAAAACATCCCATGAGTGAGAGGCCTCAACGAAGGATGTATCGCACTGATGAAATGAGCCGGGAAAGAAACCGTCCAACCAGTCACCATGGACGCAGCAAACAGCACCGATCAGGCCGACACCACAGGAGTCGCAAAACCCGCTCAGACAATGCCCTTCACATGGTGCCTCTGGATAAAGCACAGAAATACTTTGACCCTCAGCAGCAACTGGTGGACCCCCGTCATGGGGGGATGTTGGTGCAGCACCCCTCACAAAGGGTGCCCCTGGCCTTCCCCCAAACCCAGTCGGACTACATGCTTCAGGGACACTTGAAAGGAGACCCGAGGACTGAGCGCTTTATGGGACTGTATCAAGACGATGATGATGACTGGTGCTCTACATGCTCCTCTTCTTCAGACTCAGATTCTGAGGAAGAGGGATACTTCCTGGGACAGCCCATCCCCCAGCCCCGTCCTGTCGGGAGGTACTACGCAGAGGACTATCCTACAAGAGTCACAGCCCTGTCTCCACAGAGCCACGGCTCTCATAACCACCGAAGAAAGAGTCATCGATCTAAAAACTGTATCATTTCGTAACAGCTTAGACTGCGTTGCACTCCATAGTAAATAGACAATTGTCTGAGCAACTGCTTTACACAGTTCTAATGTGTTTATAATAATCTTATTTGCATTACTGCCCTTAGAATTTTAGCATATCACATGTTGGTCCAGATCTACTGACTGGGGGAAACAGCATCTGGACATTGTACATTTGTATAGATAATGGGATTTATTGAATTTTAGCACTACATGGGCAGGTATTTTAGGAAAACTGTCCCTGGACAGTTATGCACATACTGGCAAAGTGAAGACTTTTTTTTCATTTCAGTATTTTGGTTATTCAACAAATATGTGCTGTGTAATCATATTTTAAAGCAAAATACTTGCTTATTTTAAGGAAACACAAGGTTCCACAAATGTAGAAACTATGCTATAAAAACTAACCAATTATTTAATGAATAACAAAACAAACTGAAAATGTACATAGTAAGTTAAAATTTGAATACTTGTATTTTTGTATGTGTGGTCATTATTACCAAAAAGACATCAACAAAGTCATAATTAATGCCATGTTAATTACAAGACGGATGTGCATAACCAATTTTAGTTATTTTTCATGTTCTTCCCAGTTTCACTCCCTTTGCTTTGCCATAAACTTGATAATAGCTTTGTGATGTAAGGATGCTTGTAATAAATATTTTTTGACTCATCATTTTCTGAGTGATGGTGCTTGTATAGAGAGCCGGAGCTTGCCATCCAGGTGCCCCGAGGCACCGGGGGGTGGGGTTCCGTGTGGGCCAGCAAAATTGAGGACCCCTGAGTTGCACGCTGTGCGTAATGTGCTTAATGGGGACTACAGTTCTGCTTTACATCTCTCATATTCAGGGGCTTTTCACAATCTAAACAACTAATTACTCAAAAATGATAATCAGCAGATTAATCAATTATCTAAAACTTTCCAAAACAGGTAACAAAATGAAAAATCTCCATAAATTCTTTTATTATTTAACTTTTAAAGGTTTTAAGCAAAAACACAAATTAATTAGGTCCTGGGCTAGATTTTCTTTCAAGCAAGCAAAAATAACATGAAATGAAAGAATAATTATAGTTTCACACATTATAAAAAGTCTTTCAACTGTTCAAACCTCTGCTGATTGACAGTCATTGTATAAAATGTACAGGACAAACTTGAACAAATGGTCTTGACAGGCATGACTTCTTGTGCTGAGTAAATCAGTATAACTCTTTTACTCTTCTTAACCCTGAATTTGAAGTATTTTAATGACAAATACTTTTAGAATAGTGTAATACTGTTCTTTTCCACAAAACATTGCATCCTCGAGTATGCATTAGAACTCCTCAATGAATGTCAGTCAATACATACATTTTCTATGAGAAAAAAGTATTTCAGTTTCTGAAGCTAAATGAGGATGGATTTTTATTTTTTAATAAAGGCAAGCTTTATTTTTTATTAAAAGAAACTGCCAAATCTCCAAGTAGATGTCATGACCATGATAACAGTATGTCCCAGCAGAATTAAAGAGTGGGTCAAACCAACACAGAACTAGAGAAGCAACACTTTTCTTCAAGTTGTGTCCACAGAGAAAATGAACAGAAGGCCAAAACCGTCCTTAGAACTTTTATCAAACACATGATTTGTAGTGAAAAAGTCTTTGCCATATAATAACAAACAGAACAGTCCAATTCTTATTAAAAAGAAGAGCTGTGATTGAGTCCAGTTTTATTGAGCTTATGGCTGCTGAGGGCTGCAGAGGTGGGAGTGGTAGAGTCACAGGCCAAGTGGTCAGACTGTTGTACCACTTCATCCAGCTCAGAAATGAACTGTTTTAGGTCCTCCAAACATCGCTCACGGATCTCCCCGAGGTTCTCTCGAAGGGGAACCTGCAGCTGTTTTTCTAGGTTAGGGTCTTTCGCAACAAGCATCTTCACCACCATACCAAAGGTTTCACAATCCTGCCGGTACACCTGGAGAAGAAGTAAAAACGATAAGACGAGGAGTGCTTTTTAAAGGTGCAGGTGGAGAGTCCGTAATCAACCTGTCTCCATGGAGATGTAATTGCTTTCCCTAGAATGTTCCATGGTATAACATTAAACATATCCATCTAGCATTTATTCATTATGGGTGTTTCTTTTGCTCAAAAATAAAATTCCTTCTGTGAATAGGGGCAACTCTCCACAGATCTGAACTGTAATGGAGCATAGCGCTGTAACCCGCTTGTCTCTGTACGTGATAGGCTTAGTATACTGGTGAACATTCTAGACAACGCAATATTATTTCCATGGAGACAAGCTGGTGGCAGACCCTCCACAAAAAAAATGTTACGCAGTGCACCTTAAAAATCTTTAATCTTTTTTATGAGAACTAGTTTCCTTCTAGCTTTACTTGTCAGCTGGCTGTGAATACTCCAGCACCGGCTGATTACCCTGGTGTTAAGATGAGTTGTGTAGTGTTAAATGATAAACAGTTCTTCTTTGGGGATTTAAAGAGATCTTTTAAATAGGACACTGTAGCCTGAGATGCTGTAAAATACATTTTAGAGGTGGCTAGCAGCCTACTAACAGCCATAAAAGAGACAATGAGGAGGAGTTGGTAGAGGCAAGCTTGTAGGAGCTGCTATTTCACACAGTCTCAAATGTCTAATAAAACAAATGAGAAAGTCTGGGTTTGCCACGCAATGCAGTTTGATTTGCAAAATAGCAAAATGCAAGTATGAACAGATTGGAAACAGATGTGGCGGTAATAATGACCTGCAATGGTTTTTCAATTCAGGGTTATTTCCTTGGTCATGATAGTGGACAAAGTGCTCTAATGACTTCATTGCAATTAGTATGATGAAAGATTGATTAAACATCATCAATGAAAGAAGTTAAAACTATTTCTTTATTCATAAAACTATGAACCAGTTGTTTCTAAAAAGTGTGTTGAGTTAACTTGCATAGTCACCCCAAAACCAGAAGTTTGGCAGTTAAAATCACATTCTTAGTTCATCATTTTGTTTGATCTGAGGCAAGAAAACTCTCCCACTTTCTCAGTTTTGTTTTTGGTGGTCAGTGCTTAGTCCAAACTTCAGTGAGGTCCAAAATTCAAACCATATTTCTGTTAGTCTTTTCCATGTCAGTTTTGGCACAATTGTTTATCTATGAATTAGCTATATAAACGGAATTAAAAACAATATGAGGCAACTATATTTTCCCATGCAAGCATATCACTATCCTTAAAATGCTATGGCACATTTACTGACGGTTGTTATACATGATTGTTGTGTGTTTAAGATTAGGAGACGCAAGGGTGAGTTTCAGGCATTCACAAGATACCAACAAACTCCAATGCTATGTATACGCCAATGTTTCTGGCTTATTTATAGCTTTTTTGCAATGTTCCTTGTAAAGTTAGAATTGCTGGTATGGGGCAGGGATCACAAATAAAGATCCAGTGTCACACATTTTTAACATGGCTCCACAATAGTTTCCAAATTCGGTGGTGCCCAAAAGTACCACTGTAATGAATAATAATGATTAGAACGTCGCCAGGGGAGATTAGCTCACTGGCTGCAACTACACTGGGAACGAGAAGTTTTTCCACAAAATGTCACAACCAAAAACAAGCTGTATTTATAAACTGAACCTGAGCGCAAAACAATTATAGAAGCACTAAATGTGTAGTCTACAGGTCCTAAAGTGGCGCCAAGGTATAATCATATTGTGGATGTTTTCCTAGCTAGTATACAGGCAATTTCCTTTTGTATATCTATGCTCATTGAGAGATCAAAATATCACCTGTAGCGATAAAACAATGTATTATTACAATTTTACCACAATGGTTTCAAATAAATAAGATCAAATAATCTTGAGTGTAAATAATTTGTAAAGCCAGCTTTTCTTTGAGGTTTCTAATCAGGGCACTTGAGGAAATATGCACAACAGCTTTTTATAATTAACATTGTACTGAAATAGAACTTCCTGTATTGAGAACGCACTTCCTCTGATCCCTCCCTTGTTATCCAATCAGGAAGGAAAAGACCTGTACTACAGACTTTGGGTGTAGATGTCCAAAAATAAGGTGTTTTTGAATGAATTAATATAGCAATGAATAAATACAATATAGTTAATAACCTTTTTTTTTTTTTTAAGTAAGTTTCAAATGATTTTACTCAAAGTTAAAACCAAGATCCCATGAGAGCTGAACAAAGTACGGTGGAAAGTTATGATAAAATTGTGCAATCCGTAACGGCTAAATGCAGGGGTTTTCCCTTTATAACCATTTTAGATTTTTATGCTTGTTGGTTCCAATTAATATTAATGCTTTCTTATTCCTATGGGAACTTAATTTCTTGCCAATTTCATTTTAGTTTTATTCATTTTAATACACTGCATGAACCATATTCCTTTTTGAATGAAAGAAAACTCCCTTTGTATCACAGCTCTGGCTATGAACAGTACAACATAATATCCTTCTTTGCCTTGTCACTCACTTGGCCCCTTGGTCTGTACCACAGCCAAAGTCAACCCTGACAATGAGAGAGTGGGTTCAGGTTGAATTTCAGCGGCCAATTTCACTTAGCTACACAAACACGGAGGGCGAATATAGCCAGTCCCGGTCCCACTGATGATGGAAAGCCTGGTCTGTGATCTATGAGAAGTGCATAAGACATCATCCAAGTGTGCTTTTAGAGCTACTGGGCTCCGTGTTTGGGGCCGTGTGCAGAGGGGGAGATGGCTAGACCAGATTGGGGCGCACCAACCCAAACATCGGCTGACACTGCTCAAAGTGACTGGGGAATGATGAGTGCTTACGGCCTACTGCAACGCAAACACGCCTTTGGAAAGATGGCTGTAACTAAAATAAATGCAACAAAGTGAAGGATTGTTGTAAGGGTACGTTCACACTTCCATCAAAATCACATGGAAATTGGGACTACATGGGAACTTAACACAGAACTAAACCTGGATTAGATCAGGACTGAACAAGGACGAGAACAGGACCAAATCAAGTCTACACATATATAAAAGGCATGACAATATCAATGTAATTATTTGAAATCAGTGCTTTTTTAAACTTTAGCATCAGACTTTTTATTATATTTTATCATCATGCGTGTATCTAGGGTTACAGAACATGTGCATGACTTTAGGACAGTGCATGTGCTTATGTGTGCGCTTTAAAATCAACTTTTGACCATAATATTCAAAGTACTTTGGAGTAAGTCACGATGTGTGAGAGACAAATCAGCTAAATCACATCTTTATGGTCAGATTGTGTTGTGACAAAGATCAGATTAAAGTCTAATTTGAGTGACGGAGCTTCTAACGGAGCAGTGCTTTCATTTAGCTTCAGACCCCCAGGGAATGTTCATGACTTCTTCATCTTTGTTTGACCTTATGTAAAAGGTTAAACAGATCACAAAGATGAAATAGTGACAATACTACTTCAGTTGTAAATTTACAAATTGGAACAAATACACTGGACTATGTTGGATGTTAAGTGCCAAGCCATGTGAATTCTTGACACGAGTCAATACTTTTAAAAGCCACTGAAAGTTGTGCAAGTCAATCTAAGTAACAGAGATTGACATGTGATAGACTTTGACTACAGAAGGGAACATTTCTTTGCATTTGCAGATTTGGTTTCAGTGAAGTGCAGTGGAAAAGAAAACTACAGAGTCAAACAGCCTTAGTTCAGTCTTAACATTTTAAATCCTTGTTCATATAGCGTTTTCCAAAAAAGATTTAACATTTAAACTCTCATTTTATGCTCCATTTCTAAAGTCACATACACTTTCAATGAATGATGTGCAATTAATTTGGTATCTGTGAATAATTACAGCATCGCTTTTGTGCAAACGCCAAATGTTGGAGTTGTGCGGTGTGGCCTATACAAAAACTGAAAGGAGACACAGATGGGGTAAAGACACAGGCTATAAAACGCACAGGGAGATGCAGTGTCAGCAGCATAGTTATAACGGCCTATAGGCTTTAGGGTGCTCTGTGGTACAGCTGGATGAGAGGGCCCAGTGCCTGCTCCAGGGCAGAGCTGGCTCAGCTTTAATGGTCCCAGTAAAGCAGCGGTGGTGCTCACTGGGGCAGGAATGGCTTTCATTAGATAACTGCGCAGAACTGAACCTACTGCCTGAGGTGGTTTTGCTCTGTTAAGTGCTCGACCTCCCAAATTTAAACACAAACCTATACTTATTCAAACTTCACTGGTTTTATCTCTTGGTTACAATGCTTATTATCCATTGTTCCCCCTGAAAGCTTTTGTGTGTTTCTTTATGGAGCCAGTTTCATTAGCTGTACTGCCAGACATTTAAGCAGTTCTGTTCTCAAACCAATATCTGGCTGGTAACAGAAAGAGAGAACACAATTGTGAATATTAAAGGCATCATACCAATTTTTTTCTCTTAAAAATGTGAATTAGTCCTTTTGACAAGTTTGCAGTGGTCCAAAGTTATTCCTCATCCTAATTATTCACTGAGACATGCTTTCCACAGCTCTCAAAAGACCATTGTGGTGTTTTTGCTATGACGATAAAGAACAAAAAAGAAACTACAATTAGCATGCTAACATGCACTTCCTGATGATCAGATCCTAAAATATTTTCTAAGGAGACAGCACGCAGAAAAGTTAGTTTGTCAGACTGGAGAGTTTATGCAATTTAACTGTATTGGGGCAAGACAAATTTTGCTCAAATACATGGGAAAGAAAATCAGCTTCAGGGCCTTTAAGATGTACCTACCACCGTGGCCGATGGTCAGAAACCTTAATTTCCTGCCTTGTTATGAATGTTTTAAGTGGCTGTTGCAGCAAAAACAGTTCTAGTAAAATAATTCACGTGAGAGTCAAAAACCAAATGCAGACACGCGTTACCAGGAAAATATGCCGAAGTTACAGTATAGGCCATACAAGCACCAGGCTGACATTTATAGAAAGGCAATACACTTGTGCCCACTTAATGAGAAAATTGTAAATGTTAAATCTTTCCATTTGAGACCACTGTGAGTGTGTGACACAGTTTGACTCTGGGTAGCTTTATAAGTCAAATATATAGTTTCTAAGGACAGAATTAGCTATATCAAGTTGTGTACAAAAATTGAACAAAATATATATGGTAATGTATAAAAAGTCTAATTCTTAATCGATACTAAACTAGATAATCATTAGAGCAGGTCTAAATACTAAAAAAGTCACGTTCACAGGACAGAAATTAACCTGAATAGTTTTAGAACTAAAACCACATAGATTAGTGTATGCCCATAGACCAAAGTAAGTACTATGATGAATGAAAATGGCATTTTATTGTTTTAATAAAGAGTGTCTTTTATTTTTTATCAATTTGGTATTAGTATTGAGTCTGTCCCTTAGTATTGAAATAGAGTTTGAAATTTTGAGTTCCATATAGGCTATGGGAGTCCAAATGAATGAATTACTTTATAATACAATATAACTACGCGTTGTCAATTAAAAGACAGCTTACCTCTGAACTGCAAGATCTATTTTTTCCCATTTGAGATTTGTTTGTGTCTGCAGAAAGCCTCTTTTAAATCTGCCTTTCAACAGTACTGTACATAGTTCTTTTCAGTGTAAGCTATGGCATCAGTTACCTTCTCAATCTCCTGGGCTTTCGCTGTTATGGCTAAGGCTCGTCGCTCGTGAAAGTTAGATTTCTGAACATCTTCTTGGTTTACGACAGGAACTACCGCCTTCTCTTCTGGTTCGGCTTCAGGCAGATGGATCTCCTCCTAGAACAAGTCAATAAACACAAATGTACAAGGTTTTTCACAACAAAAATCAATATGTCAGCATTTAAACACTAGTGAAGAACAGATACTGAGGATTAAAAAGGTTATAAAAGAAACGTATCATTCCAATTAGTGTTGAAAGACTGAACTCAGCAACGAGTCAGCACACTGTTCTGACATAACCCATAAACCTTTCACTGGGATTCTAATAAGGGTTGTTAGAAGAAAATAAAAGTATAAACAATTCCAGGCTATGATGGAAATTTCACTGAACTTTTGTGATATGAATACCAGAAAATATCTCAAAATTTAAAAGGTCCATATTACACAAATTTGACTCTTGAGCTTTTAGCCATGTTATAATGTTGTTACCTCCTCAAAAACCTGGAGTTGTTTTTTGTTTCATTCACACATGAGTAATCCTGGTTTATTTGTCTGTCTACAGCTCTAAAGCTCAAAATGCTCTGTTCCACCGTGTAATCATGAAGTTCAAGTTTCACATTAAAAGCTACCTTTTACCTTTTGTTCAGTAGGGATTTGCAATTCAAGGGTTGAAATTATTCAAATAAATCTAATGAAGGTGTGTGGAATTTAAAATACAGGGGGGCACTTCTTGTATTACCACTTGACATCAAATGGTAGAACAGACCGTTTTCAGTTTGAGAGATGAGCTCAGCCTAAATATGCAGGGTTTGTGTGTTAAAAATGTATGAATGAAACAAAACACAACTCCAGGTATGTCTTGATGAGGAAACAACATTACAACACAGATCAGAAAATACCATAACACAGGCCCTTTAAAGCCTCTTAAGAAGTTGCATAAAGTGATTTGACAACTGAGTTATTTCCGAGTGCTGAGATAGGCTGCCCAGATGAGCCATTGGTCATTACATAGTCCGACTGGAAAGCTACACACTGCAGAAAATGAAAAGGGCATCGGTGAAATTAGGCCAACTTGGATCACCATACAACGTAACTACAGTTGTATAAAAGACTAGAGAACACTGAATTGCTGAAGCATGGCTAAAGACGACTCTAAAGACAGGAAAATGACCTAGGACAAAGTCATATTAAATCTTCACTTGGATGATGAAAGCAATTACAGGCAATAGTACATACTCTGAGCAGGGTTTGAAAAGAAAGAACAACTCGTAAAACTCCGTCTATTATTGTGATTCACTCCCTGCAGAAAAGGTTCACTGTGTACACGGTGAAAAATCCAGTTTGTCAGTCTTCAACGTCACAGACACAGCGTAAATAGCCCTGTCTGAGTCTCTTACTTCACTTGTACTGAGGCTGCCCTACCCTGGGACAAACTCCACACAAGGCATACAAATAATCCAGACTTCTTCTAATCGTATTGTGAATTAGGTCTTTGGAGTTTGTTGACCTCAATATTTTATCTATGTCCAAATTCATCCCTGTGCTGCGGTCTTGGTCAGGGCAGTGCATTTTTCCAGCCGATAACCCACTGAAGACATTAAAAGAAAGATAAGGCTGGAGCAGGGTCTTCCTCTTATGATCAAAGTAAGAAGAGAGGGCCGCTTTGCTGTTATCTTTCACAGATTTTAAACAAACATTTGGGCAGAATTCGGCAAATTGCTTTAGACAAAGTAGACACTGCAGGCTTATAGACAGACAAGTATTTGAGGGACACTTCAGGATTTCACATAAACACAGGAAATATTAGATTTATTTAGACTAAAATTAACTTACCATAACCCAGTGATGCGCTCAAGAAAGACTAACATCCACCCATTCTTGAATTTAACTGGGTATGAATAAAAACTACCTTTTACAGTGGTGGAACTACTTTATTATATAGTCTTATACCAGATCTGATATAAAATGCCATACTAAAAGTCCAATTCTGTCTAAAGAAAAAACTCATTTTAGTACTGATTTCTTGAGGTTCAACAAAATGGAACAAAGCTGGAGAATCACAAGGTTTCGTGCATGTTATCCCCATAAACACCTCTCATAACACATATAATCACCACCATAACCAAGACAGATCCTTCTACAACCAGAGACAAAGCCTGTTTTTGACCTTTAGAGTAACTGCATTGCGGCTCCACCCAACAGGCCACCCTCTAGTCTCCTCTGCCCCAAACCAGCTCCACCTCAGCGGGCAGCAGGAGGAGGGAGGGGGGAGTAAGTGAAAGCTCAAAGGGGGGCCACGACTCACCTCTTTTATCTCCTCAAAGGTTATAGGATCATGCCCCAGCCAGGAGAAACACAATGAGGCACAGGATACATTAAACACATGACAGCAGCGTGTGCAGGGGCGGGGCAGGTCTGAATCTTTCAACACAGACTTTGATTTTGTGGAGGGCACTGCTTCAGGAAATACTGTTTGAGGACTGCACTGGTATTTTTAGATTGGATCTGGGGTTTATGAGGTTGACTTCAAGGTAATAAAACATGTAAGTGCAGTTTTCAAGTGCATTTTAAATGTAACACAAAACATCACTATTACCAAGACTATAGAACAGCTATGGGTAGACTTGAAATAATGTATTGTCAAATTATTAAATGCTTACCATCATTCTGCTAATATTAGTACAGTGTTATAGTACTATACACACCACTACAACAACCTTTTTTTTACTTTTCATTTTCAATTTACAGATGGCAGAGGTTGCAAGATTCTACTTTTATTGTGTTCATATATTCACATTTTATTTCTATAGGCCACTTGCTGCATCTTGGAAGCCCTATAATGACAGTTAGCAACAACTACACACTCTGGGTCAAGAAAGGAAACGAGTGTTCATTGATTGGACCAAACTGACCAAAACACATGCTGACAGGATCCCTCGGGAGGCTGAGGCTTGTGGGTAAGATCGAATGATAAAGTTTGGACTTGGGTTACAGACTCTCTTCTCTCCTGGGTGGTCACGGCCCCACCAACTGCCTCTAATCACATCTGATGCCATTTCCACTGCTTGGTATAGACAGGGAGATCGTATCGGTACAACAAGGGCCTGGCTGCATGACAGGTGGCAGATGCCTATAGGTTTTTAAAAAGAGCACTTTTGAGGGGACAACTTTGTCGACATACAATCTGTTTTGACTTCATTACAAGCTCCAGTGATTGAAGTCTGCTTACACCACAGGTAAACAAAGCACAGGCTACATGGCTTTCAAGCTCCGCATGAGTGCCACTTTAAAACCCATTAACATACTTCAATGCAACTAAACGCTTATTAAAAGGATGGGCCCAAAGAAGTTCCAGATGATTTTGGCGGTAAAGTGACCAACAGTGCCTCAAGTTTACAGTTAGAAATACAGTATCTATAGCTTACAAACCTATATAAGTAGAACTACTTTGATTTACTTTGAGAATTGCTTTGATTTAATATGCTCTTTACTTATTGAATTAAAATAGATTACTGTGTGTAGAATAATAATATTTCAACACGATTCATTTGGGCTTGGGTCTTTGAAAAATATGCAACAATATGCAGAATATGCTTTATAAAAGTTGACAATGTAGGAGTATTAGCTCAAAAAACATGATTCTAAAAACTGAAGTATGAGCATGAGTGTACTTTGGTCTCACCTTGCTTGGAGATGCACTATGTGGTGAACCTTCCCTTGAGAGCCCTGGAATTTTGTCTGACAAGAAAAAAAAGAAAAGAAAAATACAATATGATTACAAACAAAGAGCAGATTAAATTCAAGGTGCTTGGTTGAAGGGTATAAGGGGAAGTTGGTTCCACAATCCAGACAGGTACCTGAAGCTAGAACAACCACAGAATCAGGAATTAGCTCTGTACCATCTCCAGTGGCTCTCCTCTCCTTACAACATTTCATTTTATTTCATAATACAATGGTGCCAATTTTAAAGAAAGTGTTGTGTTTATGTCTGTATGTGCTACAATAGCTTTACTTTATCATTGAGTAAGACTTTATAAAGGTGACTGCACACTAGAGGAATAGCTATTTATTAGGCAATAGAAATTAAAGTAATCCTAATTTTACAAATTTACTGTTGTCAAGTCATGGCGTCAATCATGAATAGTTGCAAAATTGACAAATTTCTACTCATGATAATTGGTCTTCAGCTTCTTCTACACAACTTTCAATTCCTCCCAACCTTCCCCAAAGGAATCTCAGGCATTGTGGTCAGCAGACTCACTGTCTAGGAACAAATGATCTTTGAGGTCCAGGGCACAGCAGAAAAACACCACCGATCTGACTTGAGGAATATCCATCAGACACTCTACACCTCTGCCCTCTCTGCTCCACACGACCAAGTGGCATTTTTATGAAGCCTGACAAAGTGGCAGTCGGCTGGGTGAACGGCTGCCGGGCGCGTTAGAGGCACTTTCTGACCGCTTCGGGTTACTAGCACTGTGTAAAGGTTAAGTTTAAGGATTATGATCTTACAATACGGTATGTTATATAGATTCTCTGTGGAGCACACCTCTCCATTGTATGACCAAAATAATGTGTTATTTTAGATTCATCTTTCAGGCTAGCTTCTTGTATTTCCAGTAGGGCTGAATAGGTTTGTAAAAATATCTTTAGAATTTTTTTTTGTTCTGTTATGTAAAGCAATTAGATTTAGAAGACATAATTAATTTTATTAAAATGCTCATTTTCTTTAACATTAGAGAGAAAATTGAAATATGAAACTAATGCAAGAGTCACATGCGTTTCAGAAATGTGTAGAGGTCTAAATTAATGTGAGGATATTTTTTCTTTTTTTTTCAGAAACTAGAAGTGCTTGCAATGTGATGTTTGCAACTTTAGCTTCAAACATTACAATTACATTAGAAGATTTAAAGAAAATATTTTTCTGTAAAACTAGAGATAGTTACCAGCCCTGGAGATGGTAGCAAATGTAAAGGAAAAACTACACACAAGCAAACCTGTGATCTATACACTACAACACATGGACATGGAAAATGGTCTGTAATCCAATTAGTAATACGAAACAGTGACTACTCTAAAGGTTACAATACACAGAGCCCATCAGACCAAAAGGAAGCTATCAGGCACTAATGAAAAATGGGTGCAGCAAACTTTGGATCTGGGTGAAATAAAATATGTAAAGTACATATATAATTTCATTTACAAGGCACACATAAGTTATGATAACTAAAAGGTACAAAATGTAAAAACAAATTAAGATGCTTTCACCCAGTTTTAGGTAGTTCATTGTTCAATGTACCGACCCAAAGTTTCATGTCCACTTTGTTGAGAATACAGCGCCCCCCAAAGGTATTCAGAAAGACCTGCATGTCCTTCTGTTGAGTCCATACCTGAAAAGCCAATGAGTCAGACAGTCAGTAATTATTTCTTATTAAAAAACAATAAACGCCGTGATTGGTTCGTTATGCTGGATGACAAAATTAATATGACGATAGACTTTCTACACTACTTTTAGATTAAAATTTGATTTAAATTACAGCGATTTAAAGTTAAACGTCCAATATTAGACTAAATGGATTCTTGTTTAAGCCATGTTGTAATCTCGTCGAAAACATACTCAGAGTTGCGTTTTATGTCATTCACACATGTATGAGTAATCCTGTTTGTTTTTTTTCCATTTGTCTACATCTCCAAAGATCAAAATGTTTTATTCCACCTTGTGATGTCATATAGTGGTAGCTTTCAAGTTAGGGGTTGTGTCTTTAATGTGTGTGAATGAAACAAAACTCCAGGTGTGTTTTTTTAGAGAAAACAACACTACAACGTAGTTCATAACATTGTGTAATATAGACCCTTTAAGCAGTAAACCTGTAGGGCACCAAATAGCAGTAATAGTTAAATGAAAGAATATATAAGATAATATATGAAAATAAAAATCTTGATATAGATGACTTTTTGATAACCAAACCATCTTCAGGGAAACTTAGTTGTAGCAATAAACTTCTTTCATACTTTTGCTTTGTGCCGCTGGGAATGGCAGGTTCTTGGCTCGGTCTGGTGAGTATCCCCGGCTGCTGACGCTGGAGCCGGAGCGACTGTGGGGGGAGCGGGCCACTTCTCTACGCACTGGGGAGCGCTCTCTGATGGGAGCAGAGAACTGAGCTGCCTTCCTCCTGAATCACAACCAGAAAAAAATTATAGAAAAATTACACTATGTACAGCAAGACTTGGATTGTGTTTTAAATAAAATATATATTAATGAGAGGAAAAATATTGCCACACCATTAGTGTATCTGTACCACTAATATTACTTCTATTCAAAAAAGCAAAGCAAGACATTTTGAAAACTCATTATTGGAATGTATTTTGTAAATGTAGCTCAATGCTGCCATCTAAAGATACAGAATATTTTTTACATGTTGTATTTTGTATGTTTTGCAGTATTGTCTTACAAATCTATCACAGGCATGAACACCAACTATTTTGTTTTAATATTAGGATGCAGTTTGCAAAGTGATTCAAGTAGCAATGAATCTTCGTGGTGTTGAACAATAAAAAATGGCTGAAACAGCACTGCCCTTCTCACTTTAAAACTACATTGTAAGAAATATTCCGTACCCGCGGTCAAGGTTGAGAATGGCTTGTACTAATGTGTCTTCTCCACTTTCTGGAAGGGCTCTGGCTGCAGGGTACATGCCTTGGCCTCTCACAGCATGGGGAGGTGCACGAGAACTGTGGAAAAGAAACATTATCAATTTCTTTCATTGTATTCCCAGTGCAAGTTAATCATTTACAATGTTTTAGCAGAGCTCATAGCATGTGATCAGGTACAAAAACAAAATATAACTTTGGGGAATAGGTCAGTTTTTTTGGGTTTTTTTTTTTTTTGCTAAATTGTCTTCAGTTGTTTCAGTATGAATTAAAAAAAAAAAGTCTAGGGCGATGAAATCCCAGTGACTGCCTGTAATGCAATGTAAATAGGGAGGTTGACATAAGGCCAGAGAAGAATGTGATTTATGCTTCCTGTAACATAAATATGTGTATGAGATAGACCTATAGATGTGAGGCCCGCACATGTGCAGATGCCCCTCTCCAAAACCAGGAAATCCTGGAGTGGCCCAGGAGACGTGAAAGGCTGTCCTCTGCTGGCCATAATAATAACAACAAAAGAGAACATACTGTATTCATAAGGAACATGAAGTTATAGTAAATTCTGCAAATTAAAACAAACACAAAAACCGCAGAAGCAATAACTTTCAAAATTAGTTACCTAAATTCTAAAGTCCTTCCGGGGTGTGGCTCTTCTCTGGGAACTCTTTGAGCAGGGTAGGAATAATCTTCCTGCTAAAAGAAATTAGTAAAATGGTTTAGATTAAAGGAAAATATAACTGTGTAGAACATTTCAGAGAATTTGTAAATAGTTCTTGAAAATAAAAATAAAAATTTAAAAAAAGATTTTAAGACTGAAGACTAAATTTAGACACATACATTTAGGCTACTACTCTAAAGATGCATTTTTCTGCTGTGGAATGTAGTGACTTATCCCAAGAAAGATTTGACCTAAACACATATTACCTTCATAATCTAAAGTTGAGCTACAATACCAAACTTTGTAAAACGATTAAGTTTTCCTCCATACTGTAACATATTGTAAAAGCACTGCTTGTGTCAAGTAGATCCTAAAAATCTGTTTCAGTACTAAGGGAAAGGTGTTATATACTGTATTAGGGATGGGCATTCGATTAAATTTTCTTAATCGATCGTCGGAAGAATTAACGATCGATTATTGATTAATCAATAACGTTTTTATATTAAAATGATCATCATTATTATTACTATCTGCACTACTAATCTGCATAAATAAATTCAACTTTATGACATATAAACCGTAACGACTCTAGACCCACATCAATCCGTTTTTATAATCCGGCATTATAATGTGTTTAATTCAGTTTTGCGCAACTCTCACAGAAACGAAACTTAAAACCGCATCGCTAATTTGCATAAACTAAGCGCAGATAAAACTACAGCTCTTGTGCGCTGATGCGGTCAATTTCTGTCGGATTAAAAACATGATTCAGTGGAATACAGGTTAGTGTGACCATATGCGTTTGTCAAAACCAGGACACTGTACAGAGGATGGGAAGTGGGTCCTCGTCATCGACATTGCGCGACTCTCACCTGGCAAAACTTTTTCCCACTGGACACAGAAACATATCTTCCTGCTTTATACTAGAGCCCGACCGATATGGATTTTGCTGTGGCCGATATGAAACCGATATAATGGGAGATGGAGCTGCCAATAGCCGATATAATCACCGATATATATTAAGTGATGTAAAAATTCACTGTAAATCTTGAATTGTTTAAAAAACTTAGGTTTGGCTCTAGTGGATTCTAAATTGGGTTTATTTGGGCAACATTTATTGTTATTCTGACTCTTTACATCATATTTACATACAGTAGATTGGCCTAATGGCATTTTTGCATCACATTCTAGCTACTAGTGATGGGTATTCCAGTTTTTTTTTGGAAAACCGACTCTTTTGGCTCGGATCACTAAAGCAGCTGGCTCTTTCGGCTCCCAAGCGACTCTTGAGATTGTTTTGTTGCAAGCAGGACTAAACCAGAACTGAACCAGGACTGAAAAAGGACTAAACCAGGACTAAAACAGATTTAAACCATGTGTAAAACAGGACTAAACGAGAACTGAACCAGGACTGAGTGTCGGGACTCGGTTTCTCTCTCTCTCCCTCACTCGAGCCCAAGATTAGTCCTGGTTTATTCATTTTATGCTGAACTGCAGCCAAATATGCACTTTTTTTTTTATCCTATGCACACGCATATTTCTGAAAGTTTCGTTTTCAGCCGCTGCTGCGGTCAAACCACGGGTCTACATGCAGCTTGAAGAGAAAAAGTGAGAAAAAGAGAAAACACGGCTCCCAATAAGAAGCATACTCCCGTCGTTCGCTTCAAAGAGCCGGCTCTAAGAGCCGCTTCGTTTGCGACCGACCCATAACTCCTAACTAGTAAAAAAGCTACTTATTAGCCTTTAGCCGTAAAAAACTTGCGCGCCGCTGGTAATTAAAGGTTGTATGGAGAATTTTTTTTGTTTCAAATTGTCAATGATAGCATTATAGAGGTGCAGTAGCCTTGTAATTATGATGACCAAAAAAAAGAGAATAAAAATTCATCAACTCTGGACGTGGTGGGGCTAAACATTTGCCAATAGATAACGACACTGCCTTGTTATCTGTTAGCTGACAGGCTGTCAATCAAACTCCCTACGTTTCTAGCGTAACTGACTTGCCTGCGCGCTGCCATTACGTGGTTTGCGTACGCCTGTCACGCAGTCCACAGACGCAAGCCGCACAGACGCTGTTTACTCCACCAACGCAACAGTTCTTAGCGGCTTTTTTTGACCTATATCTTCCTCGCAGTTAGCACAAAGTTTGTTGCAATGGCAGACAAGAATCCAGGAGCGGTTAGCCGCAAAAGAAAGTCCGTTTTTGAGATTGCTGAAAGAAGAAGACAAGGGGAAAAGCAGCTAAGCCAAACTAAGGTGATTCTTGAAGATTCATTCCAGTGATGGCGCAACTGAAGCAGACGAAGGGTCTAAAGACTGACGCATTGGTCGCCAAATTACTCCTGGACAGGTAACTTCTGCTTATTATGAAAACGTACTTTATTTCCAAGAGCTAGACAAACGTTTTTCAGGACACGAAAGCGATATCCTATGTCTGAAAACGTAATTTTCAAGGCAAAGAAAGAGTCCGCTTGCTGCTGCGTGTTGTAGCTAGTTCATTCGCACTGAATCTCCGCGCACCCTTCTCTGCACCCTTTCCTGCTCCTGTCCCCGCTGCCTGTTCCGCTCTTCCCCCTGCTCCTCACTTCTCCGGGCACGGAATCTCCGCGCACCGCTCCCCTCTCCTCTCCCTGCTCCCTGCTCCGCTCTTCTCGTCCGCGCACCCGTTCCCCCCGCTCCTCACTTCTCCGCCTTGCCTAACCAACACTGTAGTTAGTTGTTTACAAGTCATGTGCAGCGCACCGGCTGTAAACAAACCTGTTTCTGGCGTAAGGAGGAGGCGGGAGGAGGCGTTTCTACGTAGGGAGCTGTAGGGGAGGGGGGGTGGTTTCACGCATGCGCAACATTTGAAAAAGGACAAACAGTCGCTGGATTTCTCATTCCTTGGAAAATCCTCTATACAACCTTTAATTATATGCATAAATGTGGATCATTCACACGTATATTCACAGCTCATTTACATATCAATGCTGGTCCAGTAACAAATATACGGCCAATGTAGTCACTTTACAATAGGCCAGTAGAAAACAGTCTGTTTATGTGTGGGAGCTACAGCAGCTAACCACTAACAAATAGCCAAAACTAGCTGCTATGTATTTCCAACACTCAGCGCTCACACAGGCTCCTCCTCACATCACAAGTCTGCACTAATAAATGTACTTTTAATCCAGACTCAAACCGATTGTCCGTAAAAAGAAAATAATCTCAGTGTTACGCACCGCTGCGGGTGTAAACAATAGTACGCGAGTGAAGTGATGTGACTCTGGTGGTGTGTTCAGGGACAGTACGGACATACACACACACAAATTACTCCGTAGATAAATACTGATGTGGAGCCACATATTAGGACATTTATCTGTCTGTAAATTGGATTAAATGAACATAATGTAGAGAGTCTAAGCTTTATAACGAGGTATAACATGCCCACGTGAAATATCGGCCCATATCAGCAAGCATATCAGCCGATAGCCGATATGTCTCCAAGTGCCCATATCGGTGATAATATCGGCCAGCCGATATATCGGTCGGGCTCTACTTTATACACTGTGCACATGGCCTCCCATTTGTCCCAAACGCAACGAAAGCGTGGAATTTCTTGTACAAGTCATCGTTAGATACACATTTGTGCTTCGGTACATTGCAGGCTGACCGACTGTTTGTGTCTCGCTCCTTCTGAGTGCAGAGAGCTACATGTACGGACCCCTGTTTGGTCACGCTACGCACAGCAACCTACATTTGGTTTGTCGATAAAAATTAACATAATCGATGAAATTCCTAATGATCAATTATTGATTAATTGATTAATCATGCCCATCCCTATACTGTATATCCAAATTTTTGTGAAATCCCTCAGTCATCCAGACTCCATAGCAAAGGAAAAATTCAAAAACTTGTGTCCAGTCGACAGAATTTAATTTTTCCACAATGTATGTCCCAATGATCATACTATATGTCTGCAAAGTCTAAAAAATAATAAATTGATTGCAAATAACAAGCTCATAATCAGCTAAGGTGGTTTCTCCTGCTTCAGTCCACAATCCAAAAAGTTAAATATGAAGACCACAAAATGTGTCCATGAAAATACTAGTGACAAAGGATTTTCTGATGGTTCTGGGTTTGAAAATTTGGTACCACATCACAGACATCAGTATCAATTAGTATTAGTATCAATTGTCATAATATAAGAGCCTGCTACTCTCCGTGCCTTGTAATTGTCTCTGGGATGAATAAAGTGATTGAACTGAATGAATGTAATTGCACTGTTCACATCCTTACCCGTCTTGAACCTGGACCTGCCCGGCGCTCTGCGGGGAAATGAACATTGTCTGCATGGTAAGCCCTGTCTTCACCATGGTAACTGCGGGGGCCACCTCCGTTTGGGAAAAAGCGAGAAGCTCCTTCAGAACCATAACCACTGCGACCACCGTAATCTTCCTCTGGTCTGTAAGGGACCCTTCTCTCCACTCCACCGGCTGCCCGAGGATAGGGACCCTTAAATAACACAACAGATAATCAGCCAACTACAAAGTTTACATTAAAGGTTTAGGATTTCCATTATATTTAAAAATACACACTCACCGGTCTTTCATTTATAAAGCGGTCGTCATACACATTTCTGTCCCTCCTGTATGCCACTGCAAAACAAATGTAGCTATTACAATTTGCAATGAGTTGATCATCATGCACAACCTAGTATTCTATTTAAAACAAGTTAAATGTGATAGGAAAAGACTGAAACATTATTGAGAACAGCTCTGACATAGCCTATAGTTAAAAAAATACTTACTTTTGCTTATATTGTGTGAATCTCTGAGAAATTAGTTAAATTATATCTTCAGCACAATCTGCAAAAAAGATGATCGGAAGTCAGTAATTTCCTACATGCGTAAAAGACTAAACAGCACCACAGGCATCGAACAGTCGTGTTTTTGTTATGTTATCACTTATTTTATCTCCATTTGCACAACAATCAGATCAGAGAATTGCTACGGTGCTAGCCTGTGCTACTATACATCGCTCGTTTAGCACAGGGAGCCACAAGATTATTTAGCGGTTGTATTCAGACTAGAGAAAACTACAGGCCGCTTGACAATTATTCTTAGATTGGCTTTAAAAAAGATGCACGTACAATCACTTAGATTTATTCACATGCAGCGCAGAGAAGTGCAATAATCCGGTCTGTTTCTCTCGCTATCATTTGTTTAGCATTATAGCTTCCCCCAGTCGCGCTGTTGCTTACGTCATCTTTGTGTGCCAGACAAGGTTACGTCGTTAAAATGCGTCCGAGTTTGTTTTCGTTAGCTTAAATCGTAGCGTTTTATATTTCATTCTTGTTGTATCTAAATCTCAGGTTCATTTGTGCGATTCTGTAGCGTATGCTTAGATCCAGGTTTGCACAATGCGTGGTCTATGAAAACTGTATTTACACGTTACGTACATTGTTGTTATCATGAGTGGGGGACTGGCGCCAAGCAAAAGCACTGTGTATGTGTCTAACCTGCCTTTCTCTCTCACCAACAATGATCTCCATAAGGTAAATTATGCCCTGAAGAAGTCTTAAAGATGTGTTGCTAAGTCACATTGAACAATGTTTAACTTTTCTTTTCTTTATTTATTCTCTTTCTTGTTTTTTTTTTTTTTTTTTTTTTTTTAGCTATTTACCAAGTATGGGAAAGTTGTGAAGTAAGTATCCACCATAGCCAGCTATTGATTTATGCGCGAATCAAAGTGCAGTTTTTGTTGTTTGTTATTATGTTGTAATGTAATGTCATGTTTTAGGGTGACTATAGTCAAAGACAAAGACTCTCGAAGAAGTAAAGGTATAGCATTTGTTCTCTTTCTGGACAGAGAATCAGCCCATAACTGTGTACGAGCAATCAACAATAAACAGGTCAGTGATGCCAAGTTAAGTGTGTAATAATGGGCTGGTTTAACAATATTACCTGTATCTTGCAGTTGTTTGGTCGAACCGTTAAAGCAAGTATTGCTGTTGACAATGGACGAGCAACCGAGTTTATAAGGAGAAGGAACTACACAGACAAGTCCAGATGTTATGAATGTGGGGTCAGTGTCTAAACCGATTTAAAACAGGTGTCATACTCAAGTCAGATACTGTTTATTATGTATGTTTAATGCACCAGGATACAGGACACCTAAGTTATGCATGCCCCAAAAACATGCTTGGTGAGAGGGAACCTCCAAAGAAAAAAGAAAAGAAAAAGAAGAAAAAGCCCCAACAGCATGAGCAGCAGTGAGTTTTTTTTTTTTTTTTTTTTTTTAACAAAGCTTTTACATTGGGTTTATGTACATGTTCTCACTGATTGTATTTTGTCAGGGATGATGAACCAGAAAGTGAAGATGAGGGTGAGGATCCAGCTCTGGACAGTTTAAGTCAAGCTATTGCCTTTCAGGTAAGTTGACGGAAATGGTATAATTTGCTGCAATTTGTTATTGGAAAAACGTTGTGACAATATGACCCTATTTATTATATATTAATTAAATATCCTAATAAGATTTGTTAATCTTTGCTTTGTCTTCTTCTTCAGCAAGCACATATAGAAGAAGAAGAGGACAAACGTAAAAGGCAGGCAGCTTCATCTAAAGAAGATGGTGGTCCGTCCACTTCCACTGACTCAAGGAAACCCAGGATCAAAAAAAGTGCATACTTCAGTGATGAGGAGGAGCTCAGTGACTAAACACTCTTTATACACATGCCACCTTGTCAGTCTTTCACAAACCAGCACATTGATCTTTATGTCCTAGTTGTATATACTATTTATTTTTTATTTTTTTTTACAAAATGTACTTTTAATTTTCAACCATGCTGTCATTTTTGTACTCATGATTGTTGTGCTGTCAAGCACATATAAAATAAATAGGGCCTGTGTTGCTTTCCAACTACTGGTATATAACGTTTTGAAATCTATGTTTTATTTTAGTGGTGTATCAAGATTATTAGATGGAGAATTACAGTCATGTAAACACAAACTCTGTTAAGGCAAAATAGAGGCTTCTAACTGGTGAGTGAGGTAATAATGAAGAGTACTGCACTCTTCTGTGCAGTATAAATGAGATACAACATTATCTCAATTTAATATTTCCTCCAAAATGCCACACTTAATAATAATGCCCAAAGGCTATAGCCAGACAAGACTAAATAATTCTCTAAAAGGGCTGAAGAACTGGTCTGAATTTTACAGTGGAATGTTCTGTTTAACTGTCACAATGTGGTTTTGTTGACATTGTTCATAGTTAATATATCTGTAATTGGATCTAACTGCATGAAACAAAAATGTCCAATGTCTAGCATAAATAAACAAATATGAATTTTTCATTTAAGTGGTGCCATTATTCAACCCAAAGATGTTTTCAGAAAATGACTTTTGGCCGTTATTATGATCAGATTAATGTCGCAAATTTGTTGAGCTAATCCCTAATTAATATTAATAAGGTTCCTGATATTTGTGGAAAAACAACACTGATCTCCCATACAGTTAAACAGGCTCCTGTTCTCCATCTGAAGCTTTGACACCATCAGATGCTAGAACCTATAAAACGTGTAGGTAATAATAACCAACTGGACTTCTAGTGTAAGGTGTAAACTGAAGAGCTCCAAGAGGGCGCATGAAGGCGGTGCATGGATGGATTCATCAGGAGGAATGTCAGCCTCGGGAAGTGACGCGCTCGCTGATTGGCCAAGGCGAGTCACGGGACCATTTCCCAAGCGGAGTTTCCACGACAGCTGGAAGCCGAGCGGCAGAAGCGCATCGCTTCTTTACTTAAAATAATAGAAATAACATATCCTGTACTCGTCATAGCGCTTCCAGATACACTGTGGTCTGGCATGGGAGACAAGAGGAGTCCTACAAGGTAAACACAAAGGCGGAGTGTCCTAGATCTCCGCGGTGGGGGAGCGGACATCGGCGGAAAAATGGGGTTTCTCCTCCACGGTCTCTCTCCCTCGCTCTCTCTGTGAATGTGTGCGCGCGTGTGAAAACCTCAGCGCCAATTACAGTGTCGGATCAGCGCGTCTGCAGATGATTTCTAAATCCTATCAGGCGAGCCCAGATGTGTGCTATCGATAACCTTCCTGGTTACAAACCGAACTCTTTCGGTTTCCCCTCACTCCCCTTTCTTCTCCTACGTTCACCAGTCGCTCCTTGTCTTTTAATGAGTTTCCTTTTGCCTTTTTATTTACTGTTTTAAAGGCCGAAGCGTCAACCGAAATCCTCCGACGAGGGGTTGTGGGACTGCAGCGTGTGCACGTACAAGAACACGGCAGAGGCTTTTAAGTGCATGATGTGTGATGTCAGGAAAGGGACATCAACAAGGTAAGGCTACCGATGTACAGAAGCTACAATGCTCTCGGCTCTCAGGCATCGGGGTCCCTGGGGATAGGGGGTTATCCTCATAAAACCATTTTGCATTTAACAGCACGCTTCAGGCAATTTGTGTTGTAAATTCTATTTGTTATAACACAGTCAGAAGAGAAGGGTATTGCAAAACAGCTTTGGAGAGATGTGTTTATGCTGTCTGGTGTGTGGTTGAAGCTATTTCTAATTTAGAGCCACAAAGGTTCATAGAACAAATTGCAACACTGTTGCTTGTTATCATCAGAATTTGCAGGAAAAGCTGGGTGTTGTAGTTTTTAGTCAATATTTAAAATCTAATTTGCGCTACAGTCCCATAGCCTATAATTATTTTTTTTCTTAAATTGTTTAAAATTGCCTTAATTTTTGAAAAATATAAATAATAATTGAAGCTGCTAGCAAGTAAACTATATGTTTTAGTTCACCTTCATCTTTATTTTAAGGGATGGTTGAACTTGTTTTGGTTAAATACAACTTTATGACTCCTGAACGTGAGTGAAATAGGCTGTGCTACGTTCTCTGCGTGGACACTTCTGCAGTTGCATTTTGTGCCTGTCCACTTGTGTGTGTGGGAGGACCACTGGTGAAAAGAGGTTGTCAGAGCAGCTGCCAGACAGACAGCCATAGCTCATTACTATTCAACGGCTTAATCAGCCTGCTGTCATCAGAGACACGCACTTGAGTACAGATGCACTCTACATGCAAATTCTGCAAACGGCCACATGCACATTTGTACACAATTAGTTTTTGTGCATGCACATGCAGAAAATGGAGACATATTAGGCAGTCTCAGTTACACACTGACAGTCTTGAGCCAGTTGACCCTGTTCTGTTTACACACAGAGCAGTGTTGTTGTATGCAGACTCAGACACACATCTCGACTTTGCCAAGAAGTGTCAGTGCTCCCCAAGCAGTAACACCCTTGGTTCTTCACATCGGGATAGCTATGAGACAGCTGACAAGGACAAACAGGCTTAGACATATTTGTACTTGTTAAGTTATCCATTCACTCCCTTCTTTTCATTACTTGAAATCAACCTTCTTGTGTCAAGTTCTTGTGTCAAGTTCTTGTGAATTTATTTGCATTTTTACGATTTTATACTTAAAAGGCTGAATGCCTTCATCCATCACGTTCCATTTATTCTCGCTTGAGACTGGCACTTTGACGACATATGTGACCCCTCCTTTTATCTATGCTCGTTTGTCATATAGTGTGTGTAAAAAGCACCTTATTAAACTTTAATAAGCCATGACCCGCAGCAATGCAGAAATGGTATTGATGTAGTCCACAGTTTTGAAGCCCTTCATCCGCACTGCACAGACTATTACCAGAGCAAACTGGCCACACAGGTGGTCACAGTTGTTAATGACCATACAACACAAACAAGTGCATTTCTCAGTGTGCGAACTGAAGGTGCTAAAGGGCAAACGGCACACAGAATATAAAATCAGGAAATTGCATATTCCCTGGCTGTGTTCTGAACGAGCATGACGAGGCAATTACTGAGATAATGAGTCAAATGCTCCAGTGTCCAGTGGTTACAGAGAGTCAGGTGTACTGAAGGTCATAGAGCAGCTTGTGTGGAGAGAAAGATTGCGTGTGTACTTCAGTTTTATTTAGAAAAAGTCAATAGTTATTACACTGCACCGGAGATAAGTTGTTTAGTCATTACCCAAACAAATGGCCAACGATTCAAAACAGTAAGATGCTGCCTTTAAGAAGAAAGCTGTGATGTTTTAGGTGGATTTGAAACATGTGTATTATCTATACAATAATAGACTATGTTGAAGTGTTGTGTCAGAAATATCATGGACAAAATAATTAAGATTTATGGTAATTTCACAATATCTATTAAAATTCAAGACATTTTACAAATGTTGCCAAAAACAATGATTACGGAGTTCCGTATTTATATTACTATGATAGAATTGTAGTGTGTTCTAAGTGAAAACCACACCAAGAGAACATCACGGATAAGTAGCTTTTTTGGCACAGTCTGCTGGCATAATTATCTGTGCTGGCAATTTATTTTCTACCTCAAATACCAATGTTTATTTTTATATTTTTTCAGTTTTTTCCATTGCCAAAAAGATCAGTGTTGTTAAATTTCCCTAAGTTCTCTCCACAAATTTGCATTGGATTAATTCAGCTTGGTCTCTTGGCTTCTGCTATGTTGATCCTGCTTCTTAGTGCCAACCGTTCCCTTAATCACTTAAATTGTGTTTTTTTGGGTCATTGTTCACAACTAGCACATGCACAACTTTAAACTTAAAGGTCATATATTACGCAAAATTGGCCTAACTGTGAGCTGTAAGGCATGTTAGACTGTTACCTCCTCAAAAACAGACCTGGGGCTGTGTTTTGTTTCATTCACACCTTTTTGACTAATTCTTTATTATTAGCCTGTCTACTAGCCTGATTCATCAGTCAGTTTCACTTCGTGGAAACCATCTGACCTATTAGGATTTGTTCGCTTGACGGTAGGCGGGTACTTTTTTATTTAACCAATCGCTGCTATTTGGTCGTGACGTATATAATATGCCAAATCCCGTAGGAAGAAGGGCAATAACGTCTTTCCCTTGATAAAATTCACCAGACATTCTCTTTGTTCCAGCTTTAAATCCTCGACGTTTGCCAACACAGAATGTATGGCTTCGTCTACATCCATCTCGAGGGCTTTGTTTACTGTTGTGCTGTACCACAAAAGGGACCCAGACAGGCGCTTGAGTTTGACGTCATGGCTTCACAGCTCTTTGCTGACTGGCAGTTGTGCGGTCTACAACTTCCGTTGTTCTTGCAAACCATCGAGTGTATTCCGATTCCTGAAAAGTAGCTGGAGTGAAATAAAATTGAGCGGCGGCACTAGGTGGTACCAGCCTGGCTACCTGTCTACAAAGCTCAAAATGTTCTGTTCCACCTTGTGATGTTACAAGGTGGTTTTCAAGTTCACAGCTACCTTTTACCTTTTGTTGGGTAGAGATAGAGAGATGGCAATTCCAGTTCTGACATACTCAAATTATTCTAATGAAGGTGTATGGAGTTTCAAAACACAGTGGAGCACTTCCTGTATTACCACATGCTATCTCAAGGTGAAACAGAGTGTTTTCTGTGCAGAGGATGTGTGAATGAATCAAAACACAAGTCCAGGTATATTTATGATGAGGAAACAATATTATAACATAGATCAGAAAATAGCTGGGTCATTGTTCACGAGCAGTACACGCTTGACTTTAAACTTAACATTTGAAAGAAGCGACCCTTTCAGAGCTTTGTAAAAGAGGTTATAGCGCTCTCTGACAAGGATGATCAATGTTTCATGAGGTAAAGCTTTAGTGCATCTTGCCACCTGGTTGTGTGTGCCAGGGGACTTGATCTACTGCAGAGGGCACAGAGCAGGGGCCTGATTGAAAGGCCAGTGTAGAGGCAGAGTTTGACTGAAGACAGCGATACATCAGCGGGATCAGACGCGCTTATCACCCAGCCGAGGGTAAATGAAGGAGAGACAGACTGACAAAGATGATCCACGGCTAATTCCTTCAGAAGCGATGTGTTGAAAAGTTTATTTTAACCACACAGTCTGAAGCCAAATCGGTTATAACGCGTTTTAGAAAGCCTGTCAAAACACTTCATGCATGAGACTGTAATACTGCATTTGACGCGTTCTCAAGTTTCGTACACAATGTATTTGTAGGAAGTAACAAGCTAGGCCAAGGCGTGTATGATGGATATATGTATGGTGGCAACTACTTACTTAAAGTTGCTACAGTATAACAAGCAAAATTAACAACTGTGAGCTTTTAGCCATGTTAAAATATTATTACCTCATCAAAAACATACCTGGAGTTGTGTTTTGTTCCATTTACACATGTTTGAGTTCCCCTGTCTACATCTGTCTACATCCTCAAAGCTCAAAACGCTTAGTTCCACCTTGTGATATCATGAAGCTTTTTACATTTTGTTTAGAAGACACAACTCCAGTTTGACAAGGAAACATTATAACATAGATCAGAAAATAGCATAATATGGGCCCTTTACATTACTGTACATCTAAAATGTAAAATGCCAGATTAACCTCATTTGAATTTTGTTTTCCATTTTATCTTCTGCACATCTTTGCATTTGTCAGCGGCAATAACAAAAGGATTTTTCCCCAAGTTCAGACTTCATAAATCTATTCTGTTTTTTTTTTTTTTTCACAGCAATCAAAATGTATTCTTTCGACAGAATTACGGGGCTGTTTCTGTGATAAAAAACAACTCAACAAATTGCCTAGAGAGAGTTTCTGAATAGTCCAAGTAACAGCTATTGATCATTAAATAAGTTGACGCTTATTTAAAAAATAGCTGAGTCACGGCCAATCTGATTCATCTTTGCTGCCCTGTTACAAAAGGGAGGGCATCTGGTGTAAAACCCATGCCAAACCAACATTTAAATCACTACATTCTTAGAGGCTGATGGTTTGCAGGGGCACTCCCAAAAAGTAACAGCTGAAAGAACTTTGTGTCTTTTCTACTTTGTGTCTAATTTAGGTTAAACTAGGGAAATGCACAGGCAAAATGTTAACTGTATTTAATTAAAACAGCCTTTACAAAGTCTTAATGGAGCTGGGGAGCGGGTATCATGCCGCCTCATTACCGTAAGACTTTGCAGAAGTGAAAGTCAGAGTGGCATTTTATCTCTCTGCTTCATTTGGCAGTGGTCCAGCTTTAGAGAACCAATCAAGCTCATAGTTTTTATTCCCACATTAGCGGATATAGCCAGTTTGTACTCAAAGACTCTCACTTAAAATCAATATGATGGCTTGCTATGATTAAGTGTGCTCTTCTGTCTGTTCAAGTTCAATTTCACTGTATTATATTCAATGCACTTTTATGAGACTAAATTGGAGTTAAATAAGGATTCAACCATGAACTTGTCTAAATCCTGACTCAACCAACGAGAAAAAAAGAAGAAAATAAA